GCCGCCGGCCGGGAGGCGGGCAGGAGAGGAGGGCGCCATGCCGGGCGCGCTGCGGGAGGAGACGGCGCAGCTGCTGGGCGACTACCTGCAGCACCGGCTGGGGGCCGCGCCGCTGCCTCCGCCGAGCCGCACGGCCGAGACGCTGCGCCGGGTGGCGGACGAGCTGGAGAGCCGCGAGCGCCTCTTCTTCCGCAACGCCTGCAGCGCGGCCGCCCTGCCGGAGCCGGGCGAGGCGGCCGCCTTGCTGGGCCGGGTGGCCACGCAGATGGAAGCCGAGGGCGGCCTCAACTGGGGCCGGGTGGTGGCGCTGGTCGTGTTCGCCGGCAACCTGGCGGCGGCGCTGGCCGAGCGGGGGGCTCCGGACCACAGCGGCGCGCTGGTCGAGGCGCTGGCCGCCTACCTGGCCGAGGAGCGGCGGGACTGGCTGGAGGCGCACGGCGGCTGGGTAAGCGAGGCGCCCGCACCGCCACCCGGGCCGGGCCGGCGGCTCCTGCTCCTGCGGGGCCCCCTCTCCAAGCCCTCCCAGGCGCCCGCCTGGCCGAGCAGCCTCCGTCGCCTCCTGCTCGCCTGCGCCGGCGGTGGGCAGCCCCGGGCTCCGATGCCTTGTCCTCCCCCCCCCCGCCGGAGCTGCTGCTGCTGCTGCGGCGGCCGCCCCCTCCTCCTCCTCCTCCGCCCGCCGCCCCCTCCCCGAGTCTGGCTGCAGCGGCGCGGCGCTTGCCGGATGACCTTGGCGCAGAGGCTTCGCCGGCTGCTTCGGATGCGCGCTGGGTCGCCGGCCGCCGAGGCTCCCCGCCCGGCGCTGTGCTGAGCTGGCGCCCCCCTCCCTCCCTCCCTCCCCAGCCCCGATGCGGAGCCCGAGAGGAAGGGACGGGGGGGCTCAGAATTGCAGGGGAAGAAGAGGGAGGGAGGGAGGGGGGGTTTGACTGACGGCTGCTTGCAGCGCGGAGGCCCGGCTGCGTTTTTTTTCCCATATAAGGGAAGCAGCCGCGGACAAACCGTGAGAAGTTGCCTTAGAAAGCGCTTTCCTTGGAATCTGGGATCGGCCTCCCCTCCTCCCGCTCTTCTTCCCTCCTTCCTCTGCCTGTGTGTCCCCCCCCCCCCAATATAGCTCTCTTTGCGACGGGGCTGGTTTCTTTTTCCATTCTTGCTACAGGCGCCCGCTTTGAGCCGCATTATTTATGCGGCGCACATACTGCAAAAAAGTGAGCTTTGCCTTCAGGTTCTGGAGGCTGGGCTGGGGGTTTGTTTGGGGGGGGGGCGGCTGCTGCTGCTTTCTGGGGACTGAGCTGTGCCCTGCAGGCTGGCAGCTGATGGGGCATCGAGGCCCCCACCGCCTGTCCTTGAAGCAGCCTTGCAAAAGGAAAAGCTGCAAAGGGTGAAGGGCTTCAGAGGAAGGGGGTCCTGGAAAAAAAGCCTGCAGAGTTGCCCCCCTTTGCTCAGTTTGCCCCCCCCCAACCGATTTCTAAAGTCATTAGTCAGAAGGCCACCCAGATCTGCCTAGAATGTGGAATTTAGGTCAAGGTTTCTTTGCCTTTTCTCTTGGGGGGTGTCTTTTAGCTTAAGGAAGCCCCCTATCCCCCAGGCACACCCCACATTTTTGCGCAATTTTGCGCCACTCTGGTATGGCTTTCCCATATTGTGTAAGTCATGTGGTTCGTTTGCATCTGGCTTCAGCGCATTCCAGCTGTTGTGGGTTACTTAACTGTGTAGCTTGTGGTCTAATGTGTCGTTGGAAACCAGCCTGCTAAGACCTGGTTAGATCGGAGTTAAGAAAACCTGGCTTAGCGCAATGAGTGAACCTGGCCTCTGCTGCTTTTTCTGGATGGACAGGGTCTTGTGAACCATCCCTCTGAAATTGGGACTAGCATGAAGCCGGACAGTTCTCAGGGCTGGCCAGGTAGAGGCCACACCTGGATATCTTCTTCCAAGTGTAGATTGCTTGCCAACAGACTTCTACTTTGTCCAGCATTTCCAAATATTTACTTTACCAAGAAATAGGTAGGTTTCCTGTGAATTTTAGTTCACAGCTAGGTAGCAGGACATCTGTTTAGTTTTAGGCTAGTCCAGCCTGACGGGAAAAAACAGATGGTATTCTTCAGACTAGGAACCTTGAGATTAGAATCATGTATCTCATGAAGGAAGGTAGTGATTAACCATGGTTTGTAGGGGGAAAAAAGCCTCACTGAGCTTGTGTAGTAACATGTTAAACTGTGAAACAATGGTTTACAAGCCCCCGGTTGGATATGCAAATATATTATGTCAAAACTGCGCAAGTCACTTGATGGCTTAGCACGGTGCATGAATTTGAGCCAGCGTACAGTTCAATAGAAGGAAGGTGGGTATAATCCCAGAGTTTGGAAGTACGCACCATGGCAACTATGGGTGTGCATGCATTTCTGCATCAGATGATTGTAGCTGTGGTGTCCTAGACCTGACCATTGAACCAAAGAACATTCTCCTCTGCTTGAGACAGGCTCGTATATAATCCACATCGTTGGGAAGAAGTCTCCTTGAAGCTGCAGACAGAAAATGCAACTGATAATACTTTGTGTAGAATTTGCAGGTCCCCATTTGATTGGCGCTTTTTTTTTTTTTAGCCTAAACTAGATGACATCTGGAACTCTTTGAGTTCTATCTAGCAAATGGATTCTTTCTCTAATGGCACTGATAGAAATATAGTTTTTTTTGCCCTGTACGTTGGAGGAATGAAAGCTCTGTTGTTCTGTTTGTTTATGCAGAAGAAAGTGCTCCCTAAGACTTCTGCAGATTTTCTCAGCCAAAATTTTGGGAACAGGGGAAAACATTAATGAAGACCTTCAGTCTGGGTTACAAGTCTTGCTTTCAGCCTTCCGTGGTGGTCTGGTTCATCCTCTGGACCGGCTCTCAAGTTTTAGCTACACTGCCAAGAGCTGATCCTTACCAAAATGCAGCAAAAATGGAGGACAAGGAGGGAGTAGTAGAAATGATGTTACTTAGAAAAGTGTGGCTAAATCAAGAAGGATGTCTGTTTATGTTTGTATCTACGAAGATAAAGATTTATCTTCTTGAATAAAGAAAGGGCATCTCCAAAGGCTTAGGATTGCAGTTGTGTTTCCAATGTAGTCTGCTTTTTGATGGGTCCTTGGTGCTCTCTGAGCTTGGTTGTTTTCTTGCAGACATTTCATTACCCAGTTAGGTAACATCATCAGGGCTAGAAGGGAGTGGGGGTTTGCGCTAACCCTTCTAGCACTGATGATGTTACCTAATTGGGTAATCAAACATCTGCAGGAAAACAACCAGGCTGAGAGAGTCCTCATTTCAACCCTTTATAGATAATCTACTTTTTCTCCAAAAGGTAGACATGTAAAGAGATCTGTCCCCAGCTTCTGTTTTATTATGAAACAATTCTCTGAAATAGGCTAAGACTAGGCAGATAGAGACTGACCCAAAGTTTCCAAGATAACCACATGATGGTGCATGCCTTGGAGATGGAAAGAAGAAGTGGGGTACTTCCAAGTCAACATCTAGCGTCACTAGGCTCCACCTTCCATTAGCTAATGTCTGCTTGGCTGTTGCTTTCAGGTGGTGGGAATCCATTAACTTCTGCAGAGTGTGGTGGGCTTTCCATTTCAGATATAGGATTGTGGTGCAATGGCCGTTAACTCAGATGGCTTGGAAAGGGTTGGCTAAGTGCATGGAGAAGGCTGCCCATGGCTACTCATTGCAAGTATACATTAAGTCCAGGCTCAGAGGAGAACATATATGAGTCCCAGCTAATGAGGAACAGGAGGCTTCATACCAGTTCTGCTTCTGAGCTCTCTGAAGATGGTGATTGGCTACCATTGGGAGACTACTTCCTCCAGTCTAATCCAGTAGAGTTCTGCTGGGTTCTCATGAACTTCCCATGAACCCTGCAGAGCCTGTCAAGTTCAACCAAGGAGAGGTGTCTTCATGTCATCTGTATGATTTAGAATATATTATTCATAGCAAACTGAGGCAAACAGGAATAGCAGGCAGTTCTGGTAGGTTTTTATGGCTTACCCAGTGAAACTTTTGCTTTGTTCCTTAACGGGTGGTAAAGATTGAGTAGTTGTGTGGCTAAATCTCTCAGTCAAAACTGAACCAAGAACTACCGTGTAGACACTCTTCTGAACAACTTGAGTTTTCCCAGCCTAATCATGTCTTTCCATTGGTTACCAACCCATGGTTTATTCACTAAGCCACCATTCATCCTGAGCAAAGCTACAGAATCGCTGGCCACAAAGTGGTTCAGTTCACTTCTTCTTGTGCCATATCCGTTATCGGACGTTGGCGATCCTGTTTTTATCAGCAGCCGCACGAAAAAGTGCTGCTGAGTTTTGTCCAAACCAGTCCCTTAGATTTTGAAGCCACGATGTTCTTCTTCTGCCTGGACCTCGTTTGCCTTCCATCTTTCCCTGGAGGATTAAATGGAGTATGCCGTATTTTTCTGGGTGTCGCATCACATGTCCGAAATATTCTAACTTTCGTTTTTTAAATTGTTTTGATGCTTTCCCTTGGCTTTCCCAGGTGGCTGATCCCCTCCTCATTTCTGATCTTGGCTCAGTTCACACCGTCCATAAACCAACCTTAAGGTGGTTGTGGCTTAATTGCAGGCTTAGAACCCGGTTGCTGAGATTCTGATGCAACAAAAAGCCTCTTAGGAAATCAAAGGCAATTCCAGGAACCTCGTTGTTCTCGCAAACTTTAATTGGACTTTCCCATCCACCTACTTGAAATAGGCTACCGCCAACAAAAGCCTTTGTTTTGTCTCTGATATAATCAGAACTAGAGAGGATTTTTTGCATTCTTAAGTGCTTGGCCCCTTGCCAGCCCTTGCCCGATAGCTTATGAAGTCTAGCCCATTTTTATATCCTTTTCTTGATAAGAAGATTGTTGCAGTGTAGCTAGGAACCCCTTGAGATATTCAGTAACTTGGTTGCTGGATAGCTGCCAGCAAAATAGCCCTTCGATTTATTTATTTATTTTTTGGGGAATGTATGGGTTGGCCCATCCCAACCTGTTGGCTAGGCTGGCTAAGGAAGTTGCAGGTTGTAAGCTAAAACACACCTGCAGTTATTATTGAGAAAGTTATTGCTAATAGCAGAAGAAATGTCCTTGGCTAATCTTTTAGGTCAGCAACAACAAAAGGACAACTCCTTCTTCTTCTTTTTTTTTCCCTCCCTTGCATCTGGCCCAGCTGAAGGTTATAGAAACTTCTCTCTGTGTATATTACAAGCTTGTTCTCTCCCCCTTATTCTCCTTTACTCGCCAGTGTAGGATTTCTTGCTGTTCTGCAAAATCTAACCCCAGCCATTGTTGAGTGGGTGCGGGTGTAAACCTTTGCCAGGAATGTGAATGATCAACTTCAAAGCAACTATTTCTCACACAGGACTAAGGGTAAAGAATACATAGAAACCTTCATTCAGTTCTCGGTTTTCAAACAGGGCAGGAGAGAGAAAGTCAGTCTATTCAAAACCACCTCTTTTTTATCTCGTGGGCAGTTCTTTCCACCTTTCCCCCCCCCCTTCCTCCAGACGTTTGCGATCATGTTCTGCATTTAACTGGTGCCCACAGGCTGCATCAAAGGTTTAAACTGGACAAAAGTGCATTTTTTCTCAACGGTGAAAGGTGAAATAAGATGCTTGTTCCCCAGGTAGGCCCAAGGATCGTCTTGTGAGGCTAGCTGTAAGGCTGCTGGCTGTAAGATCGTTCCCACCTACGTGATTTGAGGATGAGAACATGTGTGTGAATCACATGTCTGGCTACAGATGTCTGCAAGCCCAGCATTATTATTTTTTTTTAAAGGCTGGGACATTTGCCTTGTGTGACTTTTGCATAGGATGGGGGGTATGTGGCGCAGTTAAGGATTTTACTGCAAGGAAATCAGTAATAATTTCCAGAGATTTTAACTTCTCCAGGGTATTTGAATTCTGCCAGCCACATTTTAAGGGGCTGCTTTTTCTAGGAATTGATAATAGGAATCCTGCTGTAGAAGTCTGATGTCTCCATTCCAAAAAGGGAAACATTTTCCGGGCGGGAGAAGAAACAACAGTTTGTGATACTGGGTTCTAGGGAAGATTGTGGGTTTTGTCCCTTACGTGAAGGTGGACATTTTTATCCAGATTGAGAGACGAGAGTAACCCAGACGATCAGGAGCTTGGAAGGGAACAACTTGAAAGAAATGGCTGAAGATGTGGGAGGTGTTTAGCTTGGTGAAGAAAAAATTGCCAGGAGGCAGAAGAGCTGGTTTCAAAGATGAGAAGGGTCACCCTCTAGAAGATGTGGCAGACAATTCCAGAAGATAGATGGAAACAACATCAAGCCCAAAGAAAGTCTGGAATGGTCTAGGATCTCCTGCCACAGGCAAGGGTTGGACTTGGAAGACCTCAAGAACCCTGTTTAAATTACAAGGAGGTTTTGATGGAACATAGGAGAACATCTGAACAGGGGAGAAGATTCATTAATGAAGCAGACTATCTTGGAGATGGTGAACCTCCTTTTGCTGCTGAAGGTTGAAGAGAGGATGGATGACTATCTGCTGAGGTGGCTGCGATAGTGGATTTCTGCATTAAGGCTAGAAGATTTCCAAACACCTTCCTGTTTGTTATGATCTAATCCTCCCGTGAGTGTGTGGGCCACGAATTAAATAAAATGCTACATCATATTACGGAACGTGATTACCAATCATATAACTTTCCATCTCCTGGAACATGAAAAATAGCCATTGGGTGATACCCTTGGCAAGTCTGCAGAGGCCATTTTGCATCCTTGGCCTTCAGATCGAGCACCTTTGTCTGAGATCCACCTTCTCCATCTTAGCGCCTGCCAAAAAGGTGGATAATGAGCCTAGGAATTCTGGGGATTGTAGTCCATTGCACCTTTGAACAGTGCTGGGTTGGAGAAAGCTGCCTTAAATAATTAGCGGTCTCCTTGGTGTTGGGGGGCTGGAAGGAGTAGGTGGTAATAGAAGTCCAAATACAGATAACCCTTGATTTACAGCAGTTCATTTAGTGACTGTTCAAAGCTACAGTGGCAGTGAAAAAAAGTGACTTAACGATTGTTTCTCACACTTACGACCGTTGCAGCATCCCCAGGGTCCCGTGATCAAAATTCGGATGCTTGGCCTCTGGTTCATATTAATGTCAGTTGCAGTGTCCAGGGGTCACGTGTTTTCCCCTTTTGCGACCTTCTAACAAGCAAAGTCGAGCCGGATTCACTTAACAACCGGGTGACTAATTTAACAACTGCAGTGATTGACTTAGCAGCTGTGGCAAAAAAAGCTGTAAAATGGGGCAAAACTCACTGAGCAACAGACATTTGGCGCTCAATTGCGGTCGTAAGTTGAGGACTACGTGTACGCACCACACCCCCACACACATACAGAGGAGAGCATGTCTCTGTGTGTCTACTTGCTCTTTTTCACCCAGAGCTTGACTCCCAAATGTTGGGGGGGGGGAACTCTGCAATCCTTTTTTGGCCTGAATGCATCCCTGTAAGATGATCATTAAATGGAACGGATGGAAACGGACGTCCTGTCTCCCTTAAATTTCTTTTAGAGCAGACATGTCAAACACAAGGCCCGGGGGCCTGATGCGGCCCGTGAAGTGGTTTCATGTGGCCCGTGAAGCCATCCTGGAAACAGTGAGGGAACGGCCCCCGCTGCCTTGGCCCTGGCCCAGGCCGGCTGGAGGGAGCCAATGTACAATTTTGTGCTGGCCATCTATGCTGAAACGCATTCAGTCTTAGCTCCACAAGGCCGTCCGGAAACAGCGAGGAACCAGGAGAACCTTGAGCAGCAGCCTTGAGGAAGTGGGGCTGGGCTTGGTGCCGTGGGTGCTCAAGGGCCAGGCTGGGCATTTGACCTCTGCTGCCTAGGCTCCGGGCAGCCCACACCACCATCCAGCCCCCCCTGCATGTCCTGAGAGGAACAGTGAGGCTCCTCCAGTGGACCATAGCCTTGGCACTTGCCCTGGTCCCATCCCCTTCTGCCAGAGACCCTCAGATCTGTCCCACTCCTGCCCAGGCCCCCACACGCACTCTTGACGTGAACGATGTAGAGCTGGCCATGCCCACCCAGTAGGCCACACCGAGTAGGCCACACTCCATCCACGCCCACCCAGTAGGCCGCCCCCCCGGCCACACACCCCCAGCCCCCCCCAGGGCAACCGCAATGCTGATGCGGCCCTCAAATTGAGTTTGACACCCCTGTTTTAGATCCTCCATTTCCCTGTAGCCCTCCTTACTGTTTTAACTGCTCTTCCATTAACGCTTCCCTCTTAGCAGACACCGAAGTGACAGTAACGTAATAGCAAGGTGGAGTTTGAGGGCTTTTTTCTTTTTCTTTTTAAGAAAAGGAAAGACTACCTATTCTATTCTCCACCTTCTTAGTTTGGGGCATTGCCTAATTTTTATTTTTATTTTTTTTTTTGCTTCCGGAATTCCTCGGGCACCTTTGCCCCAGTAGTTCTGAATGGCCGACTCGTGCCTGCTCAAAAAAGAGGGCAAGTTGGTGGAAAGGCCACACCTGAATGCTAATGATCCATCCCAGCGTCCTTCTGCTTCCACGGCTGGCAAAATGCATCAGCTGACATCCGCCCTCCCGGGCCTCTCCCCTGTTTGCCCAAATTAAAGGGGTAAAGAACAAAGTTCCGAAGGAAATGCAAGGCAGGACCAATTTGCATAGACATCTGTCAGATAGGGAGTTCAAACATGGCCATCTGGATTCACGTCCTCCGTCGTTCTCGGTTATTCTGAATAAAGAGGCAGCCGCGCAGCTGCCGGTTCGTTTCTGGCACACGAAACAGGCTAGGAACTGAGCAAGCACACATACACATAACAATGATGTTTGGTTTTGTGTGAATGGGATACCCTCTTCCTGAGCGGGGTTTGGGCAGCCGCATTCTTAATGCGAGCACAATAGCGCAATCCTCGCTTGTTGCTTCCCCCCCCCCTTGTAGCTGATGGTACAGCCATCCATCCCTCTTGGCAATCCCTCTTCCCCTGTTTTCTTAGTCAAAAAGATTTTTTAAAAAAGCTTCTTCATATTCAGCTCCTTTAATGGGCGTTCCTGATCTTGCACTTGATTCGAGGGAGCAAAGATCTGGTGTTTGAAGCATCTCTGTTACCATCAGCCGTGTTGGTTCCAGGTCTACAACTCTTTGCTTATTTGTCAGCTCACTTTGGAGGGGGGGGAAATATCACAGACCCCGGCACCTCTTAAATTTCCCTTCCAATTTAAGACTGGTTTCTATCTCTTTTGATGTCGTTTCCCATTGAAAGTCTCCTTTGCATCAATATGAAGAGTAGGCCCACTTTGTCTCACCCGGGGTCTTCCATGACCATTGGACCAACTCTCACCATACTTAGCTATCACGGTGAGATGGGATTCTGGGTACTGAACTCCAGAATATTTGATGGGTGACCAATTGCGGGCGTCCTCAAATATCTGGCTTATCAAGAAGATCTTGAAGCGGACGGGGGTTGAGCATCAGATGTACCTGACTCACGATGTTGCTTGCTCTCTCTTCTTTTCTAGGATGGCTTCTACCACTTCTTCAATAAGCACGGCTCGGATGCAGCTGACCAGAACAGCACCATCAGCAACGCTATTATGGCGGCGGCAGGATTTGGCCTGGCTGGATTGGCTTTTCTTTTGGTGGTGCGATAGGAACCCACAACATCCGCGGAGACTTAGACTGCAGGGAGACGGGATGGGTGGGCACGCTCCTTTCTTAAACTGCTAACATCCCAGCGAAACGTCCATTCTATATTTCTACGACGGTCGAAGATAGAAGCCTATATATAAATATATATTTTTAACTAGAGTCGGGGCAAAAATTAGTTGAGCACACATCACCTCCCGGCACGACCAACGGTTGGTGAATGCCTCTTTGCGCTCATCCTAAGACTGGGCATCTTCTGGATCTCGGGCGTTAGGGCTGTCACCTCGCCACCGTTTGTTCCGGGAACCGTTGGGAGTGCTGGGTGTTAACGCTACTTGTTCATGGTGGGCTTGTGATGGAACCAAGTGGAAGACGTGTTTGCCTTTCTTCTTTGTGTGCGTGTGTATGGTGCGGTGGGGAAGGGAGGGGAGGGGAGGTGGGCAGGAGGGATCATTGCCTTGTGAAATGTGAGCCAGTATTAATAAGAATGAAGAGCTTATTCCTCTTGGGGTGCAATGCAAATCATACGGAGGCCACTCGATAACATAAACTTGCAAGTTCCATGTTGCACAGAGCATTATAGCTTACGTGTTTTTGTTATAATGACATAACTCTTAAGTTACACTACAAGTAGATGTCGAGAATGTTGATACCAAAACAGTCGAGGCTGCAGAACCAGTTCTTAACTGAAGTTGTTTAACTATTAAAAGAAGAAGAAAACCTTTTTAAAATTGGTATATTTGGAAGTCCATTGAAGGCTGGGATTTCCGTGGATTTCCTGTCAAATCCAGAAACTCCATATAACTTAATATATTTTTGAAGTATTTATCATTGTATAATACTGGTAGCTGGTTAACATCTATTTTTGTTAAATTCCATTTTTTTAAAAAAGAAAAGCTCTCCAGTTGCTTTCTTGGCTGTATCTGTCTTATAACTTGTTTAACAGTTCTAGTTTTGGTAATTGATATACTGTGTATTGTACAAAATAGTCTTTGAGAAGTGTTCTGTGTCTTTTCCTTTAGCTTGTACAGTTTTAATATGTGAATAAACATAACTGAATATTTTTATTTTAAACAAGTTTATGAGCAGACTTTATGTGGAATTTCTCTCTCTCTCTCTCTCTCAAAGGCCCAACACGCCAGGAGCATGAATGTGCCTCCAGGAAAAAACTGTTCTTGTTCTTTGTTTGTTTTTAATGCTTTTTTTCTCTGCTCAAGGGGGAGATAAATGCTATCGCTTCCACGTTCCAGCAATCAGGAGACTTGACGCCATCTTTGTGAATGCAAGACAAATTTCCTGCACACGTTTCACAGGCTCCTGTCACAATGTATTTTCTGTCTCACAATGTAGTTTGGACATCTTTCCTTCCAGGCCATTGTACAGCGGTGTGGCTGTGGTACGTGAGATGAACACAACATCCCAAACATTTGCAGAAGTGGAGAATAATAATAATAATAATGAGGAGGAGGAGGAGGTTGAGGTTGGAAGGGACCTTGGAGGTCATCTAGTCCAACCCCCTGCTCAGGCAGGAAACCCTATACCATTTCGGACAAATGGCTGTCCTGTCTCTTCTTAAAAACTTCCTGTGTTGGAGCATTCACCACTTCTGGAGGCAGGTTGTTCCACTGGTTAATTGCTATAACTGTCAGGAAGTTTCTCCTCAGTTCTAGGTTGCTTCTCTCCTTGGTTAGTTTCCACCCATTGCTTCTTGTCCTGCCTTAGGCACTTTGGAGAATAGCTTGACTCCTTCTTCTTTGGGGCAGCCCCAGAAACAGAAGTTCGGCCTATCTTAGTGAATCAAGGGCAGATTTTGCAAGGGACATAATCTGATGTGTACTGAGCGGCCGTATAAATGGCTATAGTTAAGGGACAGTGAATTGAAGACTGACATTCAGATGTCTTTTGATATATATCTTAGCTTGGGAGAAGAGGTGAAAATGTGCAGACACCATTCTCTTTAAAGCTACTACATGCTTCCGTGGACTTTTCAATTAATGAGGAGAGAGCTGTTTTAAAGAGTCAGCTCATTAAAGCAGATACAGCTTCTGGCCTGCACAGAAGATCAAAAAAAGGTGCTGTGAATTCATTTTCAAAGCACCTCTCGATCCTATTTTGAGCCATGTTTTAACTTTTTTGCTTTCACTTTTTAATTTGAGCTAGTGCCTGTCTTCAGGGCACCATGAGTGGAATGACAAACTTAGTGAAGAAGTAATGCTTCGCTACTTGATCTCTCCAAGAAATCTTGAATCTATTTTGCCTAGAAAGTCTTGTCCAAACGGAGCTGAACTTAATTTAGGACACTGATTTCTGACCCCAGAAATGTCTGCTTTTAAAGAGGCCTAGACTTTTAAGTACGTCCACTGAGCTTTCCCGAACTCTTTTCTACATTGAAAAAAAAATAAAAATGAGTCGGTTGGAAAAGCAGCAGCTGTGATATTTTCCTTTCCTTGGACACCTGTGCATCTGCTTTGCAACTACTGATGGGTTAGGGGTTGATAACTGCCGTTTAATTTGCCACCTGTCTTTTTAAAGTTTAACGTAAAAAGTTGAAATCCAAGATTAACCTTTTCCGCAGGAGAGGATCTGGCCACGTGTCGCTTTTCTCATTTGTGCCAAAATAAAAAAAAATCCACAGGATTTTGTGCTCACCCAGGTTCGCTGCTGATGGCCTGGTGGCTCAATCCATTGCTCAGAAACGGTTTTTGGAAAGGGGGCAGGTTGAAGCCAAATATAACTTGCAATCTCAGTCTTTGAGCCCAGGATTTACTGATTGCCTGCATTTATTCATTTATTCAATGCTGATTTTCGGCCTTCTGAATGGACACAGGATGTTTTACGGTTTAAACTCGAAAACAGAACAAAGCCAATAGAAAAACCCTTCAATGCTATGGCCCTTTCTTAAGACCATAAGGCCTAGCGGTTCAGTGGGCTGATAACCGTGAGAATTGGGCTTCCACCTTACCTGTACTGGTGATGGTATTATTATTATTATTATTATTATTATTATTATTTATTTTATTATTATTATTATTATTATTATTATTAACAATAACAATAACAATAACATAATAGAATTGGGAGGGACCTTGGAGGTCATCTAGTCCAACCTCCTGCTCAAGCAGGAAACCCTACCGCATTTCAGAGAAATGGCTGTCCAGTCTCTTCTTAAAAACTTCCAGTGTTGGACCATTTGCAACTTCTGGAGGCAGGTAGTTCCACTGATTAATTGTTCTGTCAGGAAATTTGTCCTTCGTTGTAGGTTGCTTGGTAAATGGAGGTAGTCCTCCATTTACGACCGCAAGTGAGCCCAAAATTTCTGTTGCTAAGTGAGGTAGCTGTCAAAGTGAATTTTGCCCCATTTTGCAACCTTCCTTGCCACAATTGTGAAGTGAATCGCTGCAGTTGCTAAGCTAGTCACACGTTTGTTAAGCGATTCTGGCTTCCCCATTGACTTTGCTTGTCAAGGTGGCAAAAGATCCCCAGACACTGCAACCGTCATAAATATGAGTCAGTTGCCAAGTGCCCGAATTTCAATCACATGAACCTGGGGATGCTGCAACGGTCATAAGTCACTTTTTTTTAAGTTTGAACAGTCAGTAAATGAATTCTTGTATGTCGAGACTACCTGCCTAGTACCAGGATGGGGGAAATGGTTCTAGACTCTTTGCCATCCTGTAAATCATTTCTAGACTGCTTCCGTATTGGTTTCATTGATCATCCAGGAAGATGGGGCACTAATCTGGTTTGTAGCCAACATATTTAAAAATCTAGACATGAGCTACAAGCCCAATATATATTTAGGAAAGAAACCTGTTTTTCAGTTCTAGAAGTTGAAAAACATAAGCAGCAGGCCTGGGGCTGTGCGTCTGCATCGGCTATACAGGTTACACACAACTGTGAAAGTCAAGGTGTACCTAATTTTGTATTGTGTTCACTGTCCATAGAGAGTACAATCAAAAGTGTATAAGGAAGCAACTAAAAGAGCCAAGAACTTTTGAGCTCTTTCGTTTTCTATTTTTATTCCTCTGTAAAGGCCCAGTTTTTGTTACTGTTTATAGAGAAAGAAATGCAAAGCGAATATTATCTGGCAACCTGAAGCAGTCGGTTGGTAGATATGTGTGTGTGTGTGTGTGTTTTAATACTGCCTAATAGTTACACGCTTTTGAAAAGCAAATGCCCCTTAAAGACTCCCATTCATTTGCAGCTCTGATAGGATAGAGCTAGGATCTGCTGTGTGTAGATGTGATAGGAGGTGGAAGTCACCCCATGTTCAAAGAAAATCTTTTCTTTGCCCCCCCCCCCCCCCCGTCTTTCAGGATTGTAGCCTGTATCAACACCCAATTCAGGGAGTTCCTGTGTTTAATCTAGCATGACCTTGTGATTATTTCTGAACAGCCAACTCCCAGTGTAAACCTAGATAGAACAGGAATAAGGAATTCCACACCCTTCCCTCCTGGCATGATTTCTCTTGTGTTAACAACGCTAGCATTATGTTGGGATGGATGGGCAGTAGCTTCACTGGTAGGACAGACAAAGAAGATTTGCAGTACAAGTCTCCAATGGGAGAGGGGAATTTTGGGCGCCAGTTGCGAGCACATTCACAATACGTCTTTCATGGTGGGCCTGGCCAGTCCAACTTTGTGTAGCAAAAAGCAAAGTCGAAAGTTTTGAGTGCTGAACTAAAGAAGCTTCATGAGAAGCGAAATGTGTCTTCAAGGAAAAACAAAGTCCAGGTGCCTTTTGAAAAAGCACCTTTGGCACAACCATGGCTTGTTTGAATGAGAATATTTGTAGACATGGAGCCCTCTACCAGCCTCATGAGTCTCCCAAAATAATACCAAATTATTCTTGTTTTCTTGGCAGGCGCCCCCCCCCTTTTAAATAGAGCCCTCGATTATAGATATTTTTGTTTTTATTTCCTTAGAAGGTCTGAAGAGTACAAGGAGGAGCCGAAGGCTGTTTCTTGGAACAGATCAGGCTGGAGGTTAGCACATGGCTTGGCAGT